TTTCTCGATCAACAATGTAATATTTGCGTAATATCTTTTCATTTTTGTTTTAATAACATATTGGTGCGTATTATGTAATTATAAGTTAACGATACTGATTTACACTACAATCATTATGCGATTTCTCTTGTATCAATAGAAAATATCGACTTCTTTCGAGAAAGATAGAAAACAAGATAGCAAATAAAGTTATATAATTTTTAGAAAATTTTCCATCTAATAACAAAACTTACTATTTTAAACACTATTTTTAATTATTATAGTTATTTCTACAACATATCGACAATAGATCATACTATTACGCGATTCGCATAATATATTTCAAGAAAACGAGGTTAGCACACGTCACGTTTGTCGATTCCTCGATTTCGTCACTTCACTTATCGTAAACAAAACTTTTACATATTGTGATATTTATTGTGAATTTTTCCATTTATAGAGACTAATATATCTACCTGAAAGATATATTCTTTGTACAATCGATAAAAGTTCAATTTCACACAACCTAACCTAACTGTCTTTATTCTTTTAAAAATAAAATATCACCAGATAAACTGTTGCTTTCAGCACACGTGATATATAATTAAGATTCACAAATATGATATTTATCGTGGAAAGAATGAAATTTTGAAATTATCCATTGTTAACGGATACACATTCCAAAAATAAGGACGAGAAAGTATTAAGTATAATTTCGCGCGAGCGACGCGTACGCACGACAATGGTCGCTTTGTTCGCTAGTCAGTATTTAAGCATGTATTAACGTACATATACAAGTCGAGTTACCATGATTTGTAAATACTAGTCTCACTCGTGAGTAATCCTTGACTTGTAAGATTATATTTTGTCTTTCCGCAGCACCGATTCACAAAGAAGAAGTCATGACATTACGGTGGGGGATACGCCTATATAAAATTACTCTTCACCTGACACCTGAGGCATAACGATTTAAAATGATACTTCGTCCAATTTGAAAGTTTGAGAGCGTTAATTCGATACGATTGAACGTTTCACGATAATTATAGCCGTAAATAAATGGAATTTCTCGATAAACGATAACCTTTGCCTTTGCCGGGTGGAAACAGAGGACTTGAAAATAATAAAGTCGTTGGTCTCCACGACCAAGAATTTTAATTCGTTTTATTAAACGCTTCTGTTCCGAATTTCGAAATACCGTTACGCGTACACGTGCCTCGAAAAATAATCGTACTTTCGATTTCTCGGTGCAAGGAAATTCGAAATATGTCGTGCAACGATTTCGTCAAATCACACGAGAAATCATAAGAGAAGAAGTGTTTTGCATCGTTTTTGATGCAACTTCTCGCTACGGAGAATTCGACACGAAATGAGCGATTTATTGCAATTTTATTAGCTCCTATTTATACGTATATAAATTTATTACGCTCTATTCTTTTTCTTTAACGTTCTGTCGAAGTCAATAATTTTAGTAAGTTTTTTTTTTTCCTCCCCCCCTTTCCTTTTTTAGTCTGTATTTTGAAGCTGTCCGAACAAATGAACAAATGCATCCTTCTCGTTGCGAAGTCCTCGAATTGAAAGAAATGATTTATGATTCACAGTGGAAAACGACGCGGGCTTGTTTGCATTCGCTTAGGAATATAATTTAAAGCAGGTGACATGCTCGACATGTATATTCTTGCCCGAGCACCTGTGTGTAACCTCTCCTTGCGAGATTACGAGCCATTGCCCTCGTATCTGATAATGTATTGCGTGACAACGGAAAGCCAACACGTAAAGAAACATTCTTCGATGTGAAAAAAAAAAATTTCCCTTCTCTTCTCTTCTTCCAAGTTAAAAGTTGAAACAAACATTTATCCAAACATTTGACCATCGTCAGATCGATTTCATTAAATTTTTACACCAAATTAAATTAACGAAATGAAAATTAAAAAAGAAAAAAAAAAAATCCATTACGATTTTTTTTTTTGTTGCAATATTTGCAATATTGGAGTTCCCTGTAAAAATTAATTCTCGCGGTTTATGAATTTCCCGGAACCGTTTCAACCATTATCTCGGCGCAAAGAGAAACTGATCGTGATTCGAATCCTAACTTGCATTTTAGCCGCAACGTTGCCAGGTGGTACTCAGCTTCACCCACGCGTAAACGAGCCAAGAATTACACAACGCGTGTATGCGACATCGCTGTTGAAAAGTCCCTTCTGCTTTTTCCCCGTATGGAACGACTGTGGAATATCCAATTCTAGCGTGGTGATATTCTCTTATGTACAATTATAAATTATAAGAAAAACTCGCAAATTATCGTTATCCATCTGTCTAGATTATTCTCGTTTTTCTTTCACACTCTTTTTTTTTTTTTTTTTTATCTTATCGACAAATTATTCATTATTATTCATCACATAGACTAATAAGATTCATAACGCCTGGCATGAAACGTGTTTTTTAAAAAGCGTATATTACGATTGCAAAAGTTATTGAAATTTTAATTATCGATCTTCAAACGCGTTAAATATATAGTCAATATACATTGAATACAAAATATTAATTTCTGATAAATGATGTAATGATAAATAGAGGTAAAAAAAAAATTGCGCGAAAACGACAAATTATCCGGACCAATTATCGAGTAACGTGTATATATAATAATAATAATAAAGCTCGTGCGTAAATTATGAATGCGAATAAGATGTAATAATCAAGGTACAGTTATAAACGGCAATCTTATGTAACTTGTTTTTTCGCTCATTAGACTAATTAAAAACTCGAATAATGGTACGACATTGTATACATTTATTCCACGTCCTTGTTATTACTTGTTCCAAATTTATTTGCAAGTGTCAACACTTTGTATCCGTTATTAATTGATTATAAAGCACGATATACTAAAATAATAAAAATAAAAAAAAAAAAATGGAGAGATAAAGAAGACGCACAATTGACATTTCCTTTCCTTTCGTAGATAAATCGAAAATACGATCGAAATAATAAAAGATATTTCCTCGCGTGTTTATTAACGCCGGTTGAAGAGGAAGGGCTGGGACAGCAAAAAAACGGGAGTAAACGCGATTATTACGAATTGTGCGGTATGCCGTTGCCAGCAACGATCGCGACCTGGTTTGCACACCAAGTCTAATGTTTATTTATCAAGTTTACGGTTCGTCCTCTTTCCGGCCTAGTTATCGTGTCGTGCTACGTTGCCGGCCAGTTTTCAATCTCAAGAATAATCTTCTTTTGTTCACGGGGAACGTTCGTTATTTTAGATAAACACGTTGAACGCGTTTCCTTCGGGGAGGAGGTGGAGGGGGGAAAAAAAAACATTCTCCCCGAATAACGTGACGTCGATAATATACAATAACAATTTTATTATCGTTACCGCATAATCGTTAATATAAAAAGCAGAATTACGATATCATCAATTCTTCGCGTAATTCTTAACGAATTGTATGAAATCATTTGACATTGACCAACGACAATTCACTCACACGGCGATAAGCATCGATTCGTATACAAGGTACGCTATGAAACACGACTATCTATCGTTTCTTTCTCTTATTAATGAAATACCAGGCAATATCGCTACACTATATTATACACGCGCGTATATACGTAATGTCATCATTAATAGCCGGGAGGCTAAAAACGTAATCGATATCAATATCAAAACGCTAATCCAAAATGCTGCCGGATTGCAACATCATTCCTTTATTTTACGATGACATTTTAAGTAAATTAACTATTACTCAACAACGTATTTAACAACGTTTTTAATTTATCATCCATGAAAATACAAATATCTATCCGTGAATGTGCTTAAAGTAGTGAGATACACGTCTGTCTGTATATTTACGATACGACATAAAAGCTTTGGTAAGTACTTTTGTAATTAGAAACGAACGAAAAGATGGAATCGGCAACTACGAATAAAACGTTACGCAAACGATAATAATTTGCGAACATACTTGGGAAAATAGATACGTAAGAATGGAATTTTAAAAATCAATGCGACGAAGAAGCCTGATTTCCTCGTGAACAATTACATATTAAGGAAAACACGTTATAAAGCCTGTTGAAATATCGTACAATGGAAGCCCCGTTAATACGATTCTGCATTCGTCACGGTAGCCCGAGTACATTGCACCAAATAATCGACGTATCGTTAAATACCAGAAACTTGACACTGATCAGTTATTAGATTTATTATTTATTACATATAATAATAATAATAATATATAATATATAATATATAATAATTAAAATTAAATAATTAATATATATATAATATATAATATATATAATAATAATAATAATAATAATATATATTTAATGTAAATGTTATTTGATTGTAATAAGTTATTTTACTTGATATCATGTTTCTAATAAACAATTTCCAATTTCACCAGTTTCGTCATATCTCTATTCGAATTTGTAATGGCAAAGTCATAACGATTTTCTTTTCGTTTAAACCTCTTCTTTTCTTATAAATCATCGTTAATGATTTTCGTATTAATTGTGCGCAAACGGAATCTCTATTCAATTATCTGTTGCCGCGAATGTACATTTCTCTCATACATAAATACGGACTTTTTATTAATGGGTGAGTGCCATATGTACGGAACACCTGCGATGACTAACAGTACCACGAACCTAATAAGACGAGAGTACACTCGAGCATGTATATTTCGTGTCTATACACGTTATTCCGCAGGAATATCGATTTTCTTAAAGAGTTCTTTTCTACGTGGAAACATGTGGCTAGTTTGATTGAAGAGAGTAATTGAATTAATTATTACATCACGCAAGCCAGAATCGATCTACAAAAGTATTTATAATTTTATATAATAGAAAAATATTGTTTCGTTTAAAATTGTGTTTTAATTACAAATTAATTAATATTATTTTATACCGATATCTTTGCACAATATCGAAAATAAATTTTGGGATAGAACACGTATTCCCAATTTCTCAACAACATAGTCAGTCTTCTTTCAACAGAAATGAATGATTAACAATTTTTTATTTATTACCTGATTTCCCCATTGGTGGTTGACCAAGTCTGCTGAACCACCTGAGAAACCTTCTAGCAGTGGTGGCAGCAGGTGGTCTACATCCTTCGAGTATGACAACTCCATTATTATTATTATTATTGTTGTTGTTAGAGGTTGGACGTTCAGACGGAGATGCTCTGCTGTATGGCGACATCCAAGATGTAGTCGTGCTTTGGATAGTGGCACCTTTGACAGTGGTAATAGAACTGGTTATCTTAGCCGGGTGCGGGACCCAATCTTCTGAAGCGACGGGCATTTGTCTCGTCCTCTCGTCGGACGAGTCAAAAATGAAGCCGCAAAACGGGAAAGTCATTCAAAGTTTTACGCCCTTCTGTGAATAGAATTCAAACATGTTGCTACGTGGTTTCGAAAAATACGCGGCATAGGCGTATATCATCAACTTGTATAGATTATAGCACACAAAACGACGAAATTGCCCGTCCAATTTCCCGTGACACGCTCCTTTTTTTTTTTTTTCTTCTATTTCCAACTTCCTCAATTCGTGACCAACAAACCGATCGCAATCTTTGACGTTTCTTTTAAACTCGGCCAGCGAGTTTTTCTTCGCGACTTCGCGTAAGAAAAAGAACGTATTATATGCGGATATATTTTTTGCGCGTATCTCAAGTTTTGCGGTCGTCGCTTCCAATTTTATCTATGTTGTTCGGATGTTTGCTTTAAGCAGATAACAGTCACGTGCTTCCCCTTAACTTGTTGCACATACCTCGACGATTCTTTTTGTATTCTAAATGGGTCTTTGCTTCGGTCCGATCGATCCAAATGTTTTCCTTTTTCCAACTAATCTCTCTATTCTCTTTTTCCGTTGTCGTACAACGAGCAGGATTCGGTTATGTTCCCGACGATCATTTCAATCGATCTCAATTTGCCTTTGTTTTTCTATATTTTTATCTTTTTTATCTTTTACAGGATATAGATATAGACACCAGATTAAACAGTTTTAAATTGATAATTGGTGAACATGTTTTCTTAATGATTTAATTCTCTTAAAATTCCTAACAAAATGAACGATCTACTCGATTTATTTGGTACTTTCTAAGGTACTTAGTTTTCATTTGCAGCCTTTCTATGTAATACTATGCTATCGTAGAATATATCCAGATAAGTTATACAAATAGAAGAAACATTATATATATATATATATATTCAAAATATTATTGTTTATAATTTAAGATATTTTTCAGAGATCATTAGCTTCTTATACGTGGAAAAAATTTAAAAAGTATACAGCACAGATTTTTCCTTAAGTAGGATTATTGCACTTTGTCCTACTTTGCTCGATCCGATCCAGTCTCGATTAACGGTTTCTCGAGGACCAGTATAAAAATCTCTTCATAGAAGTTTGCACACATCGAACGATGAAAATTTTCTATGATTATATGATTTTCAAAATAGATGGATAAAACAATTTCCTGAATATACTTCTTAACCCTTCGAAGTATAAACTCGTCGAGATTATACTGTCGGCAACGTATTTGGAGGTCGAGGTTGATCTTTCTTATTACTAAATGTTGCTCGGTCGGTCACGTAGTTGCCGCATTATCTGTGTTTCATTGCGCTATTGCCATCGACTATCCCCTTCGTCCTCGTCTTCGACGTCGTCGTCGACGCATACGGTTCATTCGATTTCGATAAACTAACGTTCACTTATATTGCTTTGTTTTTTTTTACTTGCAATTAACAATTGAATAATCTTCTCTCAGTTCTCTACCAAAACGAAAGAACGAAACGAAAAAGGAGAGGGACGAATACACAAGCAAACGTGCCACCTCGATCAGTGAGCTGCGTTCAAACAACTTGCACAATACGCACACTAATTCACACTTTGAAACACAGCTTAACGAAGTTTGCACATAAGATATAATCGAGAAACGAAGAAACACTCTTTAACCCATATTGAAAAACGTCGCGAATACTTCTCAATTACACAATTTTATTCGGTTCGCGAGAAACTTTAACGAAGATAAGAAAAAAAAGAGCGAAGAACGTTGCCAACGAATCGAATCTAACCACACGTTTCTTGACCTGACGACAGACTCGAACTGCCACCGACCGACCACTTCTCTCGACACTGTCTCTGGCAACTTGGTTCTTCGTGCTCCTCTACCACTCCTCTTGTCTACTGTCGGTCTTCCTTCTTACTCCCTCTTATTCTCTTTCTCTTTCCAATCTGCGCGCGTGTTCGTGTATCTATGCACGCATATACCTTCGGCACAACACCGACACCCGCGTTACCACTACCGGCATACTGTCGCTAACTGCCCCACCACATCGGTACTTTTTCTTCGGTCAACTCCCTCTCGCACTCGATACTTTGTAACTGTTTCTTTATCTTCTCCTTCCTTCTTCTTCCATCTCCACGCTCTTTGTTACTCTTATAACACTTTTGCTAGAGAATACAGTTCAGAAATGTCGGAATAAATACACCTAGACTTTTGCGACAACTTGCCATTCTCAGACACAGCAACACGTTGTCGTATTCCATTGTGTTGACGTTCATATACAATGTGTTTCCACACTGCGATACGACAAATATGGCGTCTGTGTATATACTATATGCTTATAGACAGCTTATAGATCGGTGAACGAATAAGTGACGAACGTAGGTAGGCGAAAAAGATGAAAAATTAGAGTAAAAGAAATGAACGCATATGATACGCTGACGTTCTGTGACAGAAGTGCGATTTTGTGTGAGTAAAATATGTATACATAACGTGATTTCTTGAAACTCACCCTCAAACCACTTCTCCTTATTTACTTGCAAATACGTTCACATGACCATGTGCTATGAAATCCTTCATATGTCTTTGTATTTCAAATTGTGTTTCTTGTACATATTTAATTTAACGTTAACGTTACATTTGTACAAGATTTATTAAAAGTGAAATTGACAATATACTTTTATTGTTGCATTAGTTTTGTGAAAAATCAATTTGAAATATTAACAATAACAGATTTCAAAATTAATAAATATTTATTACAAACTTTTAATTGGATATTTGATTAGTCTAGTGTAACGCGTGTAGTCATATATTTACCAAAATATGATTTCAAAAGATCCTTTTATTATTTGTTTTTGCGATTGACAGAAAATCACTTACGTTGAAAATGGAAAGTCGTATTTATTATTCGGGCGAGGAGCGTAACTGCTTGTTCTAGAGACGAAGTAAAAACAGAAAGCGTGTCCGATCGAGTTCACTGAGACTTCACGCCTCTTCCATTAACTTCCTCTTTACGCGTATTATATTTTTATAAATTGCAAAAGTTCTTAAATAAAATTTCATTAATTTATTAATTTGTTATACAAAACGAAAAATAATACAAAGAATGATTTATAAAATATTTAATATCAACGTTATATTATACTGGTTACATATATGTTTATTTCAACATATCAATCGTATAACGCGAATGATTATCATCAAAGCTTTCAAACATTCAATTAAAACAATGTGAACATTGAAAGATAAGTCATATCGAAACAAAATAAAGAATCAAGAATCACTTCAATCATGAAACACTCATAATGTTATCTTTTATTTTTTGTTAAGATTAAGTTACGTATAATAGAAGATTTGAAAACTTTTATATTATGATACAATTACCAATGTGTAATTTTTATTCAAATTTTAATTAAAATTATTGATTTGTAATGATTGAAGATTATATAACTCGATAAATGTGTACAAATGATACAAAAAGTAGTATCGGAATTAATGCAATTTCCCGCGCTTCTTCCATGATGAAAGTGAGGTTAGAATATTACACACTGTGATGTGCCAAGTTAAAGTTATGTTAAATATTAAGAATATAATATTAAGTTATCGTATTTAATTTCGATTGAACAACTTTATTTATACTATTCGTATAGAGTGCTATTTAAAATTTAATGCCAACATAAATACGAAAGTGCGTCAAGGGAACGATATTTCCATATCATTACCATATTTTTGATCGTTATTGGAAACGCAGGATTCGAAGATACAGAAAATCGAAGATACAGAGAGGATTTAAAATATATTTAAATTATTTATTATATATTTAAATATATTTAAATTATTAGAAAATATATATATATATATATTTAAATTATTAGAAATATTAGAAATATATTATAATAATTAAAGACCTCTTATAATTTTCACGATTATAATTATAAAAATAATGCTTCCTTGCAATTTTTAAAAACTAGATAATTTCATTCCTATTATAAATGTGAATTTTCAAATCTCTTAAGAAAAAAAAAAAAATGAAAAAATAATCGTTAAATCGATAAGATAAGTTATTTCAAAATAGAAGTGACTCATGATAAGTTAAATTAAGTTCAACGATTTTATATAAAGACTGACTGAGGAAATGTCGATAAGCATCTATTATTGAATAAATTTGCAGTTAAACAGACGAAATCTAGATGTCTAGAGTGGATGTTGATTGGCATCGTCGATCAGAAGGCGCGACTAACGCGAAGAGTTCAGTAATAAATCGTAAAATGGTTAGAGACGCCAGTGCGGTATTTTTCGCATAAAAATAGAGGCGCCAATGAGGATTCTGTAATGAATGTAAGTTATGCAATCCATTAAGGACAGTACCCTCCGTATACAGGAAATTCACATGTGGATAAATCGTTCGATTACGCTTCGATGCCGAGATCTTTTTCTTAATGTATCTTACTTAACATTTAATTTTCTTTTATAAACTCATAAATCTTTTAACCTTAACTCTTTGTCGTTCTTTTTCGATGTTTGCTCGATACCAAATGAATTCAAATAAATACAAGAAAAGATACAATGTCGATGAGAACGTTGAACTGTACAGGCACCTTATTGTTTGTTCTCGCGGAAAAGAAAGTGGCTTATTAACGCTCTGAAGATAATAACTCTCGAATATACAATTTTCGATATGATTTTAAAATGATGATTTTCGCTTCGCTTTATTTTTGTTTCTTCTCAAAAAAAAAAAAAATGCAATTCTGATTAAAATAGATAAAATATAAATTGCAAGATATAACTATTAAAGATTTATTATTTTAATTAAAGATATTGCAAGGGTGATTGGGATCGAGTATGTATGCGATTCAAAAAAAACTTCATTTTGGTGACGTTGATGATCATTAAAATACACACTTGACCTAGAATATCCATAGGTGAAATGAATACAAAGGCGAGGTTACAGAAGGTTCGAACGACGAAGAGGAAAAACCAGGATGATAAAGACAAAGAAATTGTTGGCAACGGTTCAAAGCGCAGTTCGACCTAACTAAAATACTGCAGTGCTCTACTACATGTCGCATACCAGGTGAAAATATTACGGAACTGTTAGCTTACGAACTAAAAATACATTGTATAATCAATTTTCTTGCAAGATTGATTAAATTATTATTTATTTCCTTATGTTGTATAAAAATATCGAAATTTAAAGTATTTCGTATAAATAAGAACGTATCTATTGTTTAAAAGATTTAAAGTAAAAAAAAAAAAAAAAAAAAAAAAAAAAATTACTTAGTTCCAACAATGCACAAAGAATTAGAAGATAATTTTTATGAAAAAGAGGAATCGGTAGAGCGATCACATAAATACAACCAAGCAGGATTTCCACTCTAATAACGTCAACACAGTACTCGGAACGTGCATGGTAACAACCATAGTATGAATCAACAAATACTAATTGTAAGCCACGTCGAAGATTTTAACAATTTCTTTGTAACGCGGCATTATTCGAACGGATGCATCCTGTTGCTTGCCGTTCGAAGATATCTACGTTACCAACCGATAACGGATAAAAGATGCCCAACCGATAATATTTCTTATATTCGTTCAAACAGGATCGAAAGAAACACTTGTTCGATCCTCCATTGTAAGTACTTCTGCGTCAAACTTAGATACATACTATATGCAATATTACGATATAGCATAATTATTATATCGAATTGCAATATTGTATCGATTATAAATTTACAATTTTTTTTCTGTATTTGATATTTATAGAATAAATAACGTGTCTATATAACAAAGACACATATAAAAGATTTTTAAGTTTGATTGTGAATTGTTTACGGTAGAAATTCATGGTAACGATATTATTTCCGCGTATTATAGGGAGATTTACGAGAAGATTTACACACTTTCCATTTCTTTCATAGAAATTGCGAATACAATAGTCCTTACACAATAAATTACACGTCGCACGACACAAAGAATACTTTTTTCTTGTTATTCTTACAATATATATATATATATATATATAAACTCAAATGCTGAAACGTTGTCACAACATTTTAAAAAAGTACATAAGTTAAAAAAGTTGAATAAATTTCGTTCGAAAATATCATAGAGAAATATTATTTTTGGGAACGAATGTTGTTTAAAACGACTTGATGAAAATCACGTTTGCACAAAAAAATAGATTTATCGATGGATCAATTTTGTATGATATATACGCAGAAAAAATTCATATTCATTTTCTCAATTTATTATTATTTTAACGTAAAGTAGCATATATAAAATAGATATGAAAATTAATTTCATTTCCAGTTGTTTTTGTTAAGGATCGCGAATAAAATTGATGAATACTATTTTACCGACCTACGTCATAAAAGAAGTTTTATTTATTCGAAAAACCCGTTAACCTTCAAACACTTGTTAACATTGTCTATTGTTTTTCAAATACGTTGAATTTAAGTAAATTCTTGTTTCGACAAAGAACGTTTTATGCATGCGCGAAGGACACTTTTTTAGAAAGATGAAACCGCAAAAAGGGAACTATGGTATTCCATAATTTTAAGCTCGGTGGGCTTAAGATCAAAACACGGGCTAATAATACGGAAGAGACGAGAAAAGGATAAGGGTCGTTAAGTTCGCTACAATAATCGTTGTGTGAGAAGTGTAGCTTTGTCACATCGAGACTTTCCACATACTTCCGTGTTCGTGTAATTAAACGGATTAATAACCGCGCGTTTCTTAACGTTTTTCCAAGTTAAAACGAAGAAAATGATACAAACCGTGAACAATTTGCAAATTTTTAAAAAAATTATATTATCTTACATCTATTTGTTCGTTATATGTATTTCTAATTCAATAATAATGATAATAATAATAATAATAAAAGTTGTTAAAAATTATTTAATTATTTAATTATTTTAATATTTTAATATTCATAATTGCTAAATAATTTGGATATTCATGGGCATGTATATGTTGGCACATATACATATATATATCTCGGTAGATGCACACAAATGCGCCAAAGAAAAAAAAAAAAAAATATTTGTATTTTCAAAAAGAACTCACAGTTCTGACACGTACCTTCTTGGTTGGGGTTGTTAACGTTAGGGTTAGGATGAGAAGTCAAAGAGGACGGCGTCTCATCCTCGGCGACGCCCATCGTTGTTGCTGCCGTTTGCTGATGATGCGTCTCCACTTCTGTAGCCTCTTCGCACCTGCAGAATAAAAGAGCTTTAGATTATTCTCAATATTGAATATACTTTGATTAATAATATAATTAATAATTAATATAAGAAATAAATTGTAAAAAAAAATCTATTAACATCATGATCGATACTACACGCACATTTGATAATATCCCNTTATTCTCAATATTGAATATACTTTGATTAATAATATAATTAATAATTAATATAAGAAATAAATTGTAAAAAAAAATCTGTTAACATCATGATCGATACTACACGCACATTTGATAATATCCCCCCTTTTTTTTTTTGAAAAAAAGAAGAAAAAGAAGAAAAGAATATTATGGAAAATGAATAATGTTAAATATTCGATTCGACTATCGATGTTATCGATAGTGAGAAATATTCATTGAATTATTTTCGAAAAATTAAATCGTGAAAATTTCGATCGATATGAGAAGACCTTTATGGTTGGAAGTTATATTTCGACATTTCTAAACAAGCATAATAAGGCGAGTATATTCTCGTGGATAGAAAGTACTTACGTAAAACTTCGCTTTATTTGTAATGTTAGAGTCAAGAACCCGATAGCTGAATCGTAAAGCATATATAAGCGTGAATAAATCAAGATTTATATTTATAATGTCTAAACGTAAATCTAATTGTAATCTCATATTCAATGAAGTGAAAAAAAAAACGAGATGTATGTGCTACGAGTATTTGTTATTTGTACATCATATGATAGATCGCGGATCATTCATTTCCATTACTAATTCGAATGTAATATATTTGTCAATGAAAATTTTTATTTGACTTCTAAATGCTTGTTAAGAAAAGTTTAAAACGAACAAAATTATATATGATAAAATATACTGCAAAGACTAAGTAAATTTTGTGCACGAATAATATATCTACTTATGATGATTATACGTGATGTTTTTAACGTTCAATGAAAACAAGAGAGATATTTAACTGAACTCTAACTTATTAACAAAACATTGTGCAGAAAAAATACCAATGATTCATCGTTGCATAGATATTAACACATTAAACTGGCTTGAAATCCATTAAGATTTTTTTAAGGTACAATAAAAATCAAAGACAAAGGATCGTTACGGATTGAATCTTCTTAAAGAACGAGAATAAAATTAAAAGTGATATATTCTCGAATAACGATATTATAAACTCACTTGGATGCAAAATAGGTATTACATCGTATAATTATATCATATCATTATCTAATTGTAGGAACGCTTTCCGTAAGATCAAGTTAATTTATAAGAAATGGAAAATGCGATGCTCGTAAGTTAGTGCTACGTGACGCGTTCAGCGAAATAGAAAAGAAAGAAAAGAATATCGTGGTGTCTCTAACGGTATATTGACCTCCGCGACGCCGATTACCGTAAACACATATTCCATATCTCGTACGTGACTACTATGCTTGTCGAATTTTTAAATTTTGACGCTTCTTTTGCTTTTTATGTACCATATTTAAATTATTTAAATTAATTTGTATCGTTATTCAAATATACAATTGCTTTTACAACGATTCGATTGAATTGAATAAAAAGAAAATACACAAAAAATAATATGTATAATTTGAAAATATATATGTATACTTAAAATAGACTTAATTCATAAAATAATTCATAAAATTGACAAAGAAAAAGCGAATTATTAATTACAAAGCGAAGAATAAAATGGTAAATTAAAAAGAAGCTACTTTATTCGCGTGCTGAGGTAACGTTATCGTTTGTTCGCGGAGCTTGACTTGAAAGCCCGACAGGTTGAACAGACTCAACCGCGACGAAGATACGTGTTCCCCGTAGCGAAACAGGCTCTCCTCCGTTGACTCGAGCAAGACTTGCTGGGTCGTTTCTCCTTCGGCCAACGACCGTCTCCACTCTACCTTTAGTTTCAACGCCGCTCCTTTTACGCGTGCTTTTATGTAAATACGATAGTATTTAACTAAATTCGTACACCTAATTCGTATATCTCTCATATCACGTATATCTCTGAATGGTAAACATTGTGAAAGGGAGCATCTCATTTAAAGAAACTGTCCTTGAAAATATACTGTTTGAAAGCATTGAAGTTCCGAATGCATAATGCAGATATTATAAACTGATATCCATACAGTAGAAATGAAAAATATGTTATGATTAATAGGTATATACATATTTGAAATAATAGAGATGATGCTCACATTTATATATATATATGTGTGTATTACAAATGTATTAATACATGTTTTTATTTGCATGCAATAAGAAATGAATTTTACAATAACGAACTGTGTTATTGTAATATAGAATTCTAGAGAAATAGATTTCTTTTCATTAAAGATATATATTATTTATGAAATTTTATTCAAATAATATGATTAATATTTTTAAAAAAATAATCTTTGAAAATCTAATGTATTTTGGCGATATATATATGTAATAAATTAATTAAATATAATTTATTAAAAGTATATTTAATAATATTTCATAGATCGAATTGTTGATGAATTATTTGATACTATGATACTAAAAAAATACATGTTATAAAATTGAGAAAAAAAATATGAAGGAAATAATTAATTCATCGAATAACAAAGTTTGTACATATGTATTATAATAAATATATATATTTTTCTAAAAAAATATTAAAAAAATTAATACAACATCCAATCTAATGTAAATGTTTAGAAGACCAAAATTGATAAATCAAAATTCGAAGCTAAAACGAGAGTGACATTTTTATGGAAGAAAGAAATCGTGGAAGAATTAAAGTTTTTAAAAAAACAAGACCGATTTTACTCACGTTTCTGTCATGATATTCATAGGTATGCGAATACAAAAGTATAAGTAAAACCGACATCATTGATAAAGCACATGATATATGATATAGAAAAAGACGTGCGCGAATTAAGCGCGAATATGCATAAAGGGTTATGTGTTGTGCAGAGTTCGATATAGATGAATTGTATTTACAATAATATTTTCTACTTGTATCGGCAGTTTTCCGTACCGTCTACAAAGACAATTTTTTCCACTGTCTTATACTTGATGAAGAGCCGTTGCGATGAATGCAATGTTCACTGGCAATGAAACTTTTTCTTCTCCTTTCGCTACAATTTTCTCGTGAAATCCGGCACGATTACTCACATCTTAAAACGCGATTCCGTCTTGAAACTGCATTCGTAGGCCCGGTATTTGATGCTTGGATGTTAGAATCGCGTCAGCTCTTTAACTGTTACTCTCGATCTTTGATATTTCACTGTATTACACTCACTCACCACCGCGCTTCCCCCGACCCTTAAATAAGATAGATAATATACTCGGCCGAGTTACAGACCTACCGAGCTACCAGCTATCGTTTCGAGTCCCGGTCAGTTCTCGATGTCTTTTTTCCGCGCTGAAAACTCTTCACTTTTCAGTTTGGTTTATATATCGATTCGTATAGAATAGTAAATTTCTTTTTATTTGGATCACTAAAATCACTTGCCTTGATAAAAATTGCGCGATAATTTCTTATGAACATGTATGAACCGTAAAAATCGTGAAAATGATGAGATATTGACAAATACGTTGCGGCGTCGCGACACTGTCGACTAAATTTCACTTGACCACCAGTTGGCGCCACGTTGCGATCCCTCGTCTTTTGATTTGTAAAAATATTCTCGCCGACAATGAAATATTTTATACTTAGTATCTATGCTTTTTTACATTATATATTGCATAGATTTTTACATCAAGATATTATGTGTTATCTTTTAAAATTTTCATTTTAATTTAATTTTTAATTTTTAAATAATATAAATAAGTATCATTTAAGATCATTTTAATTTAAAATTTTATAATAATTTGTTTCGATATTTTTTAATAATATAAGTTATTAAAATTGTTAATTTATTAAATTAAATATTTATTTTATAATTATATTAAGTTTTATATAATTATCGCAACATTTATTTATTTTTACTATAAATTAAAATAATTAAAAACTATAACATTAATTATATTATATAAAATTTAAAAAAAAAATTTATTATGTTTTCGATTATATTGTTTCATAATTTATATGATACGTAATATTTTATAAATCGAAAATATGGCGGGTCTATTTGAATTAAACCATAAATAATTAAGTACTACTAGGTAAGGCTATCTTCTTATAATTTACATTAAAATATTAAATAAATCAAGATAATTATATTTATATATTTAGAAAATTTATTTTAATTTATTTATTCAATTATATTTTTTAATTAAATATTCATAAAATTCATGTAAATTTTTCATCAATATTTATTATGATATGTATTGTAACCTAAAATAATTCATTTTAAATATCAAATACATTTTCTATATTATTTATAATTTATAGTGTATTTTATTATACAATGGATAATATTTTTGGAAAAGAAGATTCTGGGAATGAAAGTGAACATATAGATATTGAAGGAAAGGAAGAAAAAGGTAGTCCTTCACAAAATTCTGGAACTAAAGATGTAGAATCAATAGATGTTAATGATAATGATAACGTACAAGTTAAGGTATATAAATAGGATAATTATATCATGAGTGTAAAATTGAAATAAAAATAATAAATTAATTTTTAAATAAAAATTAAATTTATATAGTTTTATTATTGTAATTATGTATTTATTTTTTTATTAGATAGAATATGATGCAATGAGTTCGCAATCTCAATCTGATGGAGAAGAAGTAGGTTCTAATTTGTTATGTACAGTAGTAGAAGATCAATTGGAAATTGTCAAACATGAAAATGATAATAGGGAAGAAGAACAAACAACGGAAGATATATTTGAAAATGATATAGTACTACCTCATGCAAATCCAACAAATGTTAAAGAAAGAAGAGAAAGTAAAGAGAAAAGTAAAAAAGAATTGGAAGAGGAAGAAAGGGAGAAAATGCAGTACGTATTTTTTAACATTGTTATTATTATAATTATACATACTACTTAAATATAAATACAATAATATTTGTTTGTTAACAGAGTATTAGTATCAAATTTTACAGAAGACCAATTAGATAGATATGAAATGTATAGAAGAGCTGCTTTTCCAAAAGCAGCAATAAAAAGAGTAATTGTGTTTATTTTTTCATATTAATGTGTTTCGTATTTTTTAATATCTTAATATCTATCATAAATTGTATTTTGTATTCCAGATTATGCAAACTATAACAGGTTGTTCAGTATCGCAGAATGTAGTTATTGCTATGTCTGGTATTGCAAAAGTATTTGTTGGAGAAATAGTAGAAGAAGGTAATATTAATATTTCTAATAATGAAAAATAAGTTTTAATGAGAAAAAACAATTTTTTCTTTTTATTTAAATATAATTTTTAAACTAGCTCTTGATGTCATGGAAGCTCATCAAGAATCAGGACCATTACAACCAAAACATTTAAGAGAAGCAGTTAGAAGATTAAGACTTCAAGGACAAATTCCAAATGGTCGTGCCTATAAAGCATTTTTCCGATTATGAATCATCTCATTAGCATAATCATTTAAAACTGTGATTTAATACAAATGCCTCTAATAAGTTGCAGAAATTAAATAAATATTTTTGTATAAAAAATATGATTACTATAAAATGTATAATATTCACATAAAAAATTGTTACATTGTAAAATATATCTTAGAAGTTATAAAAATAAGGATATACATTTTAATAAATAAATATATACATGTCTATTACTTAAATATTATTATATATTAATTATAATCTAATTTTATCTATTTTTCTTTTTCCTTTTTTCTATGATTTGATTTTTTATTTCTAAATATAATCCTGAAAAAAATATTTGATCATTCTTTAAATATATTATTAATTATAATTATTATTTCAAAATTAAATTAAATCACTTGAATTTTCTTGAGAAATTAGATTATCTTATTAGATGTTTATTATTGTAAAAAAATTCATTTGATTTAAATTGCAAAGAAAATAGTAAAGATCGATTTTTTATCACTTTTTTATCACTTTTATCTGAATCTGTAATAAAAAGTTAAATATACTTTACAGATTTATGTCAGTTATATATATATGTTAAAAATTTTATTGAAATTGATTGATACAAAAAGCGATAAACATTGAAAGATATAAATTTATAGATTTTAAAAGATGATGAAATTTTGGACTTTCTGTCAGCGATTGCATTAATAATACGCAAATATAATTAATTGTAATTACAATATATTTTATCATAAATAACTTTCTATACGCGCGCACATATATATGTACACATAATATAGATATATAATGCTGTCAAATTTTATTTATTTCATTAAGTATGTTAATTTTTAACCCATTAATGTTCAATTTATCTTATTAATATATCGTCGTATTTCTTTGATAAAATATTGCAGAAGTTTAATATGATATGCGATTATTATTTACATTGTTATTAACTTGTATTATTTTAGAAAAATTTAATAATGGAATTAATTTTGAAAAGTTATATATTTTTAAATCAAAGAAAAATTCTTTAATAATAAATCCAAATATTTTGAAATCCCACGTAATTTATAAATGGTATGAAAAATGATATTTTGTTTATATAATTTGTTTATGTTTTATTGAACATTTTATAATCATTTATTATTTATCAATTACATTATTACATTAGTTATGAAGCTTAACCTTAAGTTTGTGAAATTAGTATACACAATAATGAAGAAGTAAGCTCTTTTTCCACTGAATTGAATTCCTTGCAAAAAAATCGGGGAAATATTAAAGAGAAAATTATTCCGTCTTTTTTTGTATTGAATAACAAAGAATGCAAATATATCAAGGTCAGTTGTTTAAAATAAGCATATTATTCATTCCAATAATATATATATATATATATGTATGTAAAAAATTTTAAATTAATATTAATTTTAATTTTATGTTGGATCTTTTTTTTTTCTTTTAAGTTTGGTCAATTAGTACTATGGTATGATGAAAGATTTTATTATAATCCATTCAATTATAAAACTTCAACAATTCGCCAACGCAAATTACTTAATTATTTAAAAAAAACACATTTTGAAAATAATATAAGTAATGAGCAGTTACAAAGAAAGAAACAAAAGAAATTGTTGAGATATGTAAAAGATGCTAAAAAGAATGATTCTACTAGTAAGAATGATTATATATGTATAAATTTATGCATATTAACCCTTGTTTTTGTCAATTATGTATCAGTCAATTCAGTATCAATATGTTATGTCTGGATTAAATCTGGTATTGTTCATTTTAACTCGTATCAGATTTTCGAGATTATTTTTTTGATTTTGATAATAATAATTATTATCTAACTAATAAGATATCTAAATAATATCTCAGTAAGATAAATAATTCTTTAAATATTATATTTTTTAATATATAGGTAATGAATCATGGGACGGGTGGGGTAATTGGAGTTCATGCAGTGTAACATGCGGAAATGGTCGTCAAGTTCGTTGGCGTCATTGCGCAGCAGAACATTGTACAAAAGGATTAAAGAAAGCACAAATAAAAACATGTCGTTTAAAAGAATGTGAATCTAAAAACATTCTTAATTGGCTTGGAATTAAAATTAAATAATAAATTTAAAAAGAGAAAATACATAATGAAGATGAAATACATATATTCATATTCATATTTAATTGTAATTTATTTATCTACTTATTCAGTAAGATTAGTAAAATAAATTGTAATATTTTTTATATAGTTGGATAAAATATATATAAATATTTTAAATCATTTATATGTAAGGAGCATTTTACTGATCATCGAAATATATTTCTATATATACATATTTATACTAATTATATTCATGATTTTAAACATTATTTATAATTATTACATTACATATAATTCTAAATTAGATTTATCAAATTAGATTTATATCTTTAATTTTTTTTATTATATAAAAATATTGTCTACTCTTTATTTTTATTTTTCTATTATATTAAAATATTATTAGATAATTTTGTCTATTAATAGATAATTTCAGTCAATAAAAAATATTACGTGAAATTAATTAATAAGAATGTAAATTATGTTATATAATTTGATAAAATCGTTTCTTAAATCATTCATCATTTTATTTGTTCTTATGGAATGTTTATTATTTTTTCAATCCGAAAGTCATTTGAATAACACCATATTAAAACCTTATAAGAAATCAGTTTCCGTATCTAAACTTACAAACGTTCAAAATGAAAATTTGCATCATGAAACACAAACATCTGTTATTATGAATGATGAAGATAAAGATGAAAAAAATGAAAAACAAAGTATAAGTTATAAGCAAAAAATTTATTATTTTATTGTTATTCAATAAATATAATTATTCTAAATTTAAAGGTTATCATAAGATTGTTTTTATTAAAAAACAATTGGTTTCATTATTATTAATTATATTATTAAATAATATTAATTTTAAAATTTAATACTTTATAATTTTTTAACAAATTAATGTAATTATAATGTAATTATATAACAAAATAATATTTTAATGATATTTTTAACCTTTCTAGTAATAATATTTTTATTTAGAAATCAAATATTTTAATGACAGATAGAATGAATCGTCAAGGACCAAAAATATGGGATCAATGGGGAAACTGGTCAAGTTGTAGTGTTACTTGTGGTATAGGGAAACTAACAAGATGGAGGCATTGCATAGGTGGAAGTTGTTCATTAGGTGAAAAGAAAGCACAATTAAAGACTTGTACTCTTCCAGCATGTTAATGGCTAGATTTGTAAAATATTAAAATTAGTAAAATATATCAAATTCATAAAATCATTTTATATTTATTATTAAATTCAAATTATAATGATATTTTATTTGTTAATGAATGTATTTGTTTGTAATATTTTATATTAATCCTGAAAATAATTAAGTTTATTGAAATATTTTTATTTTATACTTATAAAATTCATTTAATACTTCTTAATACATACCTCTTAAGAATTAAGAACTTTTTTTTCATTATTTGATATAATTAATTTATGAAAATAATTGAATCTATTATTTTACTTCAAAATAAAATATTATTTCATTCATTCTTAAAATAATCATCAGTTCTATAAATTGTTGGAGGTTCATATTCTGGTAATCTATTTGATATTATAGGTTCCTGAGTTTTTTTCTGAAATAAAAGAATTCAGTTAATTTTATTAATTACAATATCAAAAAAATAATAGAAACTTACAAAGAAAGATAAACGATTTAACATTCCAAATAATCTATCAGAAATTCCTAGTTCAGTTTCTGCATTATCAACAGCAGCTTCTAATGTTGTTAGATTTACATTAATCATTGCTATAACATGTTCTAATGCATCTATTCGCCTAGTAAGATTGATAACTTCTTGTTGCATGTCTTTTAATCTTGGTATATGTTGATCGATACATTGGCTATTTTCAGATTGAACCTTTTAAAATAAAGTATAATATTTATATCATATATTTACTGAAAATATATCATTAGATTAAATTATGATTTCTAACCATTTCAATAATTGATTGAAATTCTTCTAAACGCATCATTACATCTTCAATGGTTTCATGAAAATTCTTCATCTGGAATGTAATGTTGTATTGTATTTTATATTTTAATATATATAGATTTCTGCAACTATAAGATATAAAAAAATATTCTTTGATAATAAATTAATATTTTGATATTGAGGTTATGTATAATAAAGTGCATACTTGACCAGATAAATCTAGTTTTAAATAATTTGCATAATCCTTCGCCAATTCGTCGACAATCGGTGTAGTATGTGAAGACATTTTTACTTTCTTTTTTTTTTTTTTTACTTATTAAATTAATAATGGAATGTTTACATTCTTTAATACTAACAATAGAACAACACTTTTAAATAGACACCATTTTTTTACGATGAAATATATGAAATTTGAAACATTTTTTATGAATTTCTTATCTTTACAAAAAATTAAAAAAAAATGATAAAAATGAATTATATGATATATAATAAATCCTCATATAACAGGGATTCGTTTAATATGAATTCTCGCAAAGATAATGCAGTGTAAAAGATATGTTAGTAAAGCACTTTAAATGTGAAACATATGTAAAGACAATATTTGAAAATAAATATAAATAATTATTATTTAATTTTCATATTGTAAACAAAAATCATTAAAACATTTTAATGAAAGAATAGTAAATAAAGACATCAAAGATTCATTCATGATGAATTATATTTTTAAATATAAATATATAGTGTATTTGATATATACATATATACATATGTAATAATAATAATAATATATAATAATAATGTATAATATACATATAATGTATAATTTATATTTGTTTAAATGTATAACATATAAAACATATCTTTTATGTAATTATCTATAATATTATATTATATATATTATTCGTATATTTTAAATAGTTTTTCAATCAAATTTTGTTATAAAAAATTTATAAAAAAATTTATGTTCTAATATATTAAATATGTTTATTAACTTTAAATAAATAAATAATATAGTTAATATAAATATTCAATAATTAACACTAATAAGAGAGAGAAAAGCGGAAGATAAAAAGAGATTTTCTAAAAGAGTAATATACTCAAATGTCAATGAACCATAATGTACATTGATTTTATGTAACACTTTGCATAACGAAAATTTTTGATATACAAAAATATAAGGCGATATAAATAAAATTAGTGAAAGGAATATTATATGCAAAAATATTTCAATTGAAACTATATCAATTAAATTATATAATATTTTTTGTATTAATTGTATTTAAAAAGAAAGAAAATTATATAAGCAATGTAATAAATTATTTAATATAATATAAATTTTTTTAATATAAATTTTTTGAAGAGTAATATTAATTTTTTTTTTGTAAGTGAATTGATAATCTCAATTGTAAGATTCTGAAGATTCTTAAGTTTTAAAAATATCTCGTATTTGTTCCTTTTTTTTCAAAATGCATACAAATATTATGCAGGTTTTTTTTATATATACTTATAAAATTATATAAATAATAATTAACGAATGAAAGAAATAAAATTGCATGTAATGTTTTTAATTTTCTTTAATTGTTTTACTTTATAATTATCAAACATCTTATCCATCTTTAAATATCTTTAAATATTACTTATAAAGAAGATTTAAGAAAAATATTCATAATTTTATTATGTATTATGAATATATAAAAATATTGTAATATTATATTATAAAAATATTTTTGGAAATTAGCAGCATATTACAAATTATTGAACTTAAGATTTTTAGAAAAAAATATTAATTGAAAAAAATTGAAATATATTCAATTTACTTAACAATAAAAATTATTATATCTAAATTGAATTATTACATATTTTTTATAAAAAAGTATATTGTTTAAAGAATTATCTTGTTATTTAAAAAAAAGATTTATTTGACTATTTGGTAAAATTTATATTAAAAGCGAAATTGTATTAAATTTATAGAAAAATTGGTGGTTGGAATTTAAATAACAATAATCAATCAGTTTCAGAATCATTTAACATTTGACGTTGGAAGCAATATTAATGAATAAGTTTACAATGAAAAATAAAACAAAATGCGCGTTTTTTTTTTTTTTTGTAATACGATGCATCGAACGATAAAGATGCCGCAAGAAAAATTGTTTGTTTGAACTGAAAGAAAAAGTGTAATTCGTTAACCTAAGCACAGGTGGGGATACAATATTACTCCTGCTTCGACTCTTACAATCAAGTCAGCTACGTTGAAGCTCAGTAGGTTCGAACACAGTGGTCCACGACTGTTCTTCCTATACTTTGGTTTAGGTCAACTGATTACCCGTTATATTTGCAATTCTTCTACCAATCTTACGCATTGAAATATTAAATTTTGTTTTGCTTTTACCGAACTAGTTTGACCAAGTAAGTACATTTTTCTTTCATGTCTTTTCTATGTTATTTTTTTTTTCTTTTACTGATATATAATTTTCTATTATATGACAAATAATTACTATATAATTAAAGTAATTTTCAATCTTTTTGTTGTTTTATTTATTTTCAATTTCCTATTCAATTGATTGTGTCTATTTAACGAAATTTTATAAAGTTATATTTTATAGTTTATTCATTTGTTTGATCTTTTACGAATATAGAAAGTAATTGCGCTGTAACGGACAAGTGAAATGATACTTGTTTGTTTTTATGTATCGTTTGGTTTTTGTATCGCTTCATTTCCTTTATATGTAATTTACTTGTGAAAAGTTTAAAATAGTTATTCCAAATTTATCGAATTAGAATAAAAATTAAACAATTATTTAAAATAAACTCTCTTTGAAAAATTTTCAATATCTAATGTTAAAAGAATTTTATAAAATTCTGGAATCTTATTTGATTTTGCAGTGAAAAAATATCTTTTATATTAAAACATTTTATTTTTATTTAAAAAAAATGAACGTTGGAAATTAATTTCATATAAAAATATAAAAATTATAAAAATAAAAAAAGTTGTGATTTTATATTAGCAACATACTTTTAAAATTAATAAATATATAATCAATATCATCAAAAATTAAATGTAATAAATATTAAATTAATTTAATTAATTAAACGTTTCATATAATAATTTGTGATAATTATAACAGTTTTGTATTTCTCATTAATTTATAATTATAATTCGTGAATATTTTTCATTGATGTTATTGATAATGTTATGATGTTTTAATTAAATCACATGATAATATAAATATCAATTAAATCAAATGATAATATAAATATCAATATAATATTCATTTTCTGAGTCAATGGATAGATTTCTTTAAAATCGATTTGATTTCGATTATGATTATCGATTATCGATTAATTATATGTTCAATTTTTTAATAATACATGAATTAATACAAGATATTACCTGCTTTATGCCAAATATGTAATTCGATAACTCGAAGTTTTAAATGTAAAATATAAGAAAACAATTATCGAGATCAACATTTTATTAAAAAACTTCAATTCGACTAATTAATAATAAAACATCGTTCTATCATTATGAATTGTTGAAGTTATAAATATGAGAAAACAACAATGTTTATTCTATGTCCTTATTAAATAAAAAATTTGCAAAAATCATTTTTAATATAATTTAAGATAAAGATTTCATGACCAAACTTTTAAATAATTTTTTGTATATATTAATCTATATATTTCATCATTATTATGGAAAATATCATTATTATGAATTTCGAGGAACTGAATTAATTGCAATTAGAAATATTCGATAAAATGAAAATATACAAGTATATATATTTCTTATTTGCTAAAAAAAAAAAAAAAAAAACAATCGTACATAAATTATTTTACAGAACATTAAGCTTGTACATTTTGAACTATATTCCAGTTTTGTAATTTCAATTTAATATTATAGTTGAGAGGATCTTAAGAAAGCGAATCCTATTCGGTGTTGCCACATTTTATACTATCGATTTAGTAAACCGTTCACTTTCCGATGAAATAAATTGTGCTCGAACTTTATCATCGTTTATGTGCTTCGTGCAATGCTCTTTTTTGACGAAGGCAAATTCTTTCGCCAGTCATCACATTGCAGCGTATCGATTCTAAATACTTTTAAATTGCAGATTAATTGCATGTTCTGTTCTTTTTCGCTGACTAATACTATTGCGTGATATATTCTACATATTATAATTAATATATCTTTCTTATAACAATCTATATACTTTTTTTGAAATTTGTTTAGCTTAAATATCCATATAATTTTTCTCGTACATTTACTCGTTACATTATTGATCGAAATGTTGTTTTATTAAGTTGATAGCATTAATTTCACTAATATCTTATTCTTTTATAAGTAATAGAAAATTAGAATAACAACATATTTCATTTAAAAATTATTTAAAAAATGCATTATAATTTCTAAAATGAAACAAATGCTTATACATTACACATAAATGAAAATTAAGTGAAATTTAATATCATAAATACGAAACACGTATATAAAATAAATAAAATAATTAAATAAATAATGAATAGTATTTGATATATATTTCTTTCTCAGAAAAAATTCTTTCGACATCATAGTTATATATATTATATCATAGTAAAATTTATTTCATAACTTAGATGTTCATATATCATGTTTAAATATTTCATCCGATAAAAATATGGAATCATGTGTTTCGAAAATACTTTCACTCACTCTCGAGTACACGCGACGTACAACTATATCGTAAATGTGATTACGGTTCATCTTGTTCATATAACGAGAAAATGATTTTCTTAATGAATCAAAACAGTATATTATATTATTCAACCTTTTTCAACAATAATTACTCATTTCGATTTGTTTTATTCTTCAATTAAATGTCGAATATTTGTAATTGAAATGTTTTTTTTTTTTTGGAAAAAAAAAAAAACAATTGATTTTCGTTCTTAAGAAATTGAAAGAATTTGACAAGATCGAAGATTAAAATGTCATAAGAGAATATATGGCGAATAAATTCTAATTCACAACACGAGCAAACAAATAATTATTTTATTGCAAAATAAATTTACTATATTATTTATTATTTAATAAATTAAATTCTGTTTAATTAAAAATTATGAGTTACACAAATATTTTGATTATGCAATATATTAACACAATAATGTGTGTTTACTTTTTTAATAATTAAAGATGTAAAAAGTATTCAATTACACAATACTTAAAAAAGATTAGTTTAATTTTATTTTCTTTTGAACTTTGTTTATGTAACGGAATAGTGAACTTTGCCAATATTTATAGATTGATGAACATGCAATTATTGCGAAACAGTTACACCAAGAATTAAATTAAAAATTCGAAAAAAATAATGATTGAAAATTAGAAAACATTAAAAGCAGAGAATTTTTAAATTATAGATCTTAAGAATATATTTTTATTATTTTAAATTATATATTTATTTAATTGAAAGATATTTATGAAATTTCAAAAAATTAAATTTTTATTTAAAATCATTATTCTTAATAATAAATTAACTAACTAAAAAAAAAACTAAATAATGAATATATATAATAAATAATATAAAAAAAAAATTAAATTTTTAATTTAATTCATCATTCGTATGCGAAAAATTTTTCCAATTTATTTATTTATTATTACCGATCATGTCTATTCTGTGAAAACACGTTCTGTTAAAAAATTGATGATATGCTGTTTTGAGAATGTAACATAATACGAGAAAGAAATGAAAGGAGAAAAAAATATCAAGATAGGAAATAGCAGCGACAAGATTATATAAATTAATTTTATTTTAAGAAACCTTGACCTCGATCGATGAAATTTCGATTGTCTAAAAAAATCACTCTTTCGTAAAAAAAGAGAAATTTACGATTGCATAAAAACAAAATATCCACACATATACATTTTAACTTTATTATCGAACTAATTTATTTTATTCGTATACATATATGTATAATAAATTAAAACAAGAAATTAAGATCGATATACATAGCGTATATTTAATTCATAACACAACAATAATTATTGATGATCAATTTTCGATTAATTCCTTCTCTTATTTAAAAAATTTTTATATTATAAATTTTGTATAAGTCGAAAGAAATTATGATAACGGGCAATTCATAATATTGTATGTTTTAGATTTGAAAGAAAAATATGAGTGAATTAACGGAAATACAATCTTTTTACAAAGGGAAGAATATCTTCGTAACCGGTGGAACCGGTTTGATGGGAAAAGTTCTTATTGAGAAATTACTTTACAGTTGCACCGATATAAATAAAATTTATGTTTTGATACGGCCAAAAAGGGGTCGTACTCCAGAAATTCGTATGGATGAAATGCTTAAATTGCCCGTAAGTAATTTAAACCCTTCCTTCTTCTCTATCTTTCTCATTTAACTCTTTTTTTTTCTTTTCTTTTAACGACCTCAAATTGATCTTATAATACTTATTACAGTGTATACGATAAGAAATATAATCTGTAGTTAAAATATAATCGTTATTATATAACGTAAATTATTATATTACATTAATATTAATATTTTTCATCGTTGATATTATTGTTTGTTTACTTATAATGATTAAAATCGAAATAAATTTAAATAGATGTTTCAAAGAATACGAAAACAAAAATCACAAATGATGAAGAAAATAGTAACGTTGAATGGGGATGTTAGCGCGGAGAATTTAGGACTGACTAAAGAACAATCGGAGATATTGATGAACGAAATTGACATAGTATTCCATTTTGCAGCAACTCTTAAATTAGAAGCTAAATTAAAGGATGCTATAGAAATGAACACGGTAAATTCATCAATTCAATTATTCCATCTTCCACATATACTTTTACAATGTGTTTAAAGTATCAATTATTTAAGTGAAAAAAAAAAAAAAATATTATTCAACTTTAAGATATTTTTTTATTTTTAATTTTTTTTATTTTTATTTTATTTATTTATTATTTTTTATTTTTTTTTTTTATTTTATTTATTTATTATTTTTTTTATTTTTAATTTATCTTTTATTATCTCGTTAACACTGTTGTTGTTTAAGGTTGGAACGAAAAGGATATTAGAATTGGCTAAAAAAATGAAAAGGTTGAAAACATTTGTACATTTAAGCACGGCTTTCTGTTATGCCGATAAAGAGGAACTCGATGAAAAAGTGTACGACCCGCCTACCGACCCTCACGATGTTATGAAAATGGTCGAATGGCTAGATGAAAGTGCTATCGATCTCATTACACCCAAGTAATTCACTCTCTCCTATAAGAAATAAGAAGAATCAATTAATTTTTTCGTTATATAATATTTTTCAATTATTCATTCTTTGATCTTCCATATTAGCATACGTTATCCGTTTATTAAACTAATCCATATTGATTTCGTTAAATATAGGTTATTGAATCTTCATCCAAATACTTACACATATTCAAAGAGATTGGCCGAGAAATTAGTAGCAGATGAATATCCAAATTTACCTTGTAGCATCGCGAGGCCATCGATAGGTAAAAATAAATAAATAAATAAATAAAGAATTATAAATGCAAATTATACTTTTATTATATAAACTTCATTCCAAGGAAACAGAAATATTTGAGGATATGGGCAGCTATCTTTGTCTTTTATTTCAACTGAATAGTTATTTCAAAATATCAATGTTAATGCAAATGAAAATATTTTAACCTGTAGTATACATATTTATAAGTTATACCAAGATAACGAATAGAACGAGTTTGTCAAAATCTTTATGTGAAATCAACTTTTATGTATGTCATATTTACAGTAACTCCAGCTTTGGCAGAGCCGTTACCTGGTTGGGTGGATAATCTGAATGGACCCGTGGGCATTATGGTGGGTGCAGGCAAAGGAGTTATAAGATCAATGCTTTGCAATGAAAACTATCACGCCGAAGTGATACCGGTTGATTTTGCTATCAACTCTTTAATCTCCATTGCTCATAAAACTGCTACAAATAAAAAGTAATTAGCATTTCTTTTTTTTATTTTTTATTTTTTTTTTTTTTTACAAATAATCCGTTTCGTTATAATACCTTTTAAGTTTTAATTATCTTTTCAATTATCTTTCCCAAATAATTCTAATATTACTTCACATTTATATTATTTCACATTTGTTGTTAATTGTTTCACATTTATCAATTTTTTTTTTTCTTTCTTCGCTAGAAGTACAAGTATACCAGTTTATAATATTACGCAAAGTGGCGTGTTACCTATCACCTGGGGAGAGATACTGGGGAAAGGGAAAAAGATTGCTTATCAGTATCCTTTCGAAGGGCAAATTTGGTATCCGGACGGGGATATACATAACAGCAAATTCGTGCACAATCTAATCGTCTTTTTTTTTCACATTATACCGGCATACTTCATCGATTTCCTCATGTTGATATTTCGACAAAAAAGATTGTAAGTCTCTTGTAACTTTCACCGATCTATATATATATATATTTTTTTTTTCTCTCTCTTTTCTTTTAGAGGTTATGTAAGTCAGTTGTACAATTCAGAGTTTCACGCGTGAGTTTCATGTTTTTTTTTTTTTTTGTTATTATACTATTACTATATTTTTTTTTTAGCATGGTTCGTATACAAAACCGTATCTCGGTTGGGCTTGAACTTTTACAATATTTCACTACGAGGGAATGGGTTTTCCATAACACGAACTTGTTGATATTGTGGGGTGAAATGAGCCCCAAGGACAAAGAGATCTTTCCAATTGATTTGTTGTCTATCGATGACAATGAGTATATAAAAACTTGCGTCTTAGGCGCAAGGCAGTATTGCATGAAAGAAAATTTATCCACGTTGCCGAAAGCTCGAAGGCACCAAGCGATGTAAGCGTTATAATATTACGCCATTGTCAGAGAGTTTGGATTAGTAATTTTTACGAATTATATAACTCGTATTCTGTTTACAGAATGTACGTCATTCACATAATTACCGTCTATCTGTTCTATTTTGGGATATTGTATTTTATTTACAAAAATTTCGAATTGGTAAGATTTGGCCTGGATAGTGTGACGGATCACATGAAATCTTTACCAATTTTGGACAAAGTTATGCAAAAGATTGATCATTAATAGTACAATATGTAATAATATAAATTTTTATTTTTTTTTTTATATTTCAAAATCATATCTTGCATATTGTAAATAGATTAATAAAAAATGAACGGGCTTCGTTAATGTTATGTTTAGTTACATTACTTATTTAACTTTACTTACGTTATTTACTTTTAATTAGTTTTAGTGTTGGAAGGCGATTCAATGGTGCTCATTAAAATTTACGTGAATGATTTAATTATCTTTCCGCCTATAGTTTATAATTTGATAATTATAAATGTTAATGATGTTTGTTAATAATATGAATGAAGGAATATTGATCATATAAAAGAATAAATTAATAAAATTATTTTGTATTAAATCTTCAAACTGAATAAAAAAAAATTGTAATCGTTATACGTATAAATTTCTTCAATTTGATATCTAATACAGTAGCGCTGAGAGAAATTTTAGGTTCAACACTGAGTCCATTATTGATTTAACCTTATCTCGCCAACCTTCGTATCTTTATTTAATTTCTTTTGGATTTATTTTTTTCAAAAAATGCAATTCTCTTCAATTACATTTTTTATACCATTATTGTTATTAGTTAAATTATCTGAAAAAATTCATAAAATATTATCGTTTAATAAAGAGTTTGGAATCACTAACGAATTCCATAAAATCCAATTATTTTCAAAAAATTTATCAATATCTATAACGCTAATATCAATTTAATAACAAAATTAATAAAAAAAAAATTTGTAAAGGAAAAAGATGATTCCAAATTTTTTATTATAAATAAGTGTATGAATAAAAATAAACTTACATGATACCAGAAACACGAAGGAGATTCAAAACACTGATAAAGATTGGTAAGAATGGAGGTAAGAATGGAGGATTTCTATCTTTGTTACCACACATATATTCCAGGTATTTCAGCAATTTGCTGCTTCTCAAGAAAATTGAGAAAAAAAATACGGTTAGGTCACCGGTAGTCGTAGTTTTCGTGAGAAACGCGAATACAAGTAAAAATAAACTTATACAATGTACCTGTGAAATACGAAAAAAGAATGAAATGTCGATAAATGTTAAGATTAATGCTTGAGGGTGAAGGATTCCTACTTCCCTTTGGTATGTATGCCTGGTATTTGATATGTATTTCGGTAATTTCACGAAGGAATCAGGAAAGGAATGAAGTATAGGTCACCGGCAAGTAGTGCCGCGTCAAATGGAAGGGCATAGGGAGAGTGAAGCGGTGGATAACTGCGCCGATGACGCGAACATAGCCTGTGTTGTGTGTATGTGTAAATATAGTAGTGATAAGTTGCGCATGCGCCGATTTTCCAGGATAGCAGAACGGGTAGGTCGGGTAGGATCGGACAGGACTCGAGGGTTATTCGAAGCGCGAACAACATCTAGTCTGAATTTGTCTACCGTTCAATTCACATACGTGCTCGTTCGTTGATCAATCGTGACACCGGTGTGAAAAACATTTATTGACCGAAAGTATCCTGCGATCACGACTCAAACAAAGGTGAGTCGTGGATTTGTCCTTTCGATTACGATTGTCGCTAGCTCTTCCTTGTCGTATCACGTTTATTTTACTTTTGTGTAACTATAGATGAAAGAAAAACGTAACAAAGAATCGGAACATGAGGTGTAACGCGTTTGCTTACGCGTTCTCTTGTTAAATACGACCTTAACATTATTATTCACATTGCGAATCGAAGAATCAAGAATGGCGCTCGTTGTTATCGTGAAGAATTTTCAAGGATTGAAATGTAAAGGGGACAAGATTGTCAAGGTCGATTTTCGGGGTAAGTTTCGAATATTATTCTTCGACGATCGATCGATTTTCATTTTTCCAAAATACGTTGATCTTTTCCTCTGTTTTTCATAAAACAATGTTGCTTTTGCATGTCATAGAGTTGATTGAACTTTGTAAAGGTGCTCGTGCGAATCAATTATTACAAATCAATATAGCAGATAATCAATCAGAATTTCATAATGTTATATTAGTTATTTTTTCATAAGTATACATTATATATTAGTATTTTTAATAAATTCAAATTCGAATATTTAATTTTATTTGATTTGTTTATATAAGGAAAACAAGTAACTTTAATTAAAAAAATATATTACCGATATAATGATAATTTTTTTTTAAATTTTTATATTAGAAAATTAAAATTTTATATATGAATAAATTGAATTGCAAAGCGTTGAAAGTTTGAATCAATTATAGGATCGATTCAAATAGTACAGCAAGTAGGAGTCTAAAACGTGATAGTCATTCTACATTGCATTCAAGATAACAAGTTTTCAAGATTGAAGTTTTCAAGAGTTGTTCAATTAGTGAAAACTTTAATTGTCATTCAAGTCGTTTAGAAAATCGCATTTATCATTCTTTCATTTTTAGATGTAACTTGGATATTTTTATAAAGTTATTATAGTATTATAGTATTATAGTATCGGTGATATAAATTAAAATTAGTCTTTTTAGAAATAAATGTTTTTATTAGAATTGTCGTACGTAGAATAGATTTGCGTTTCACATATTGTGTTTAATCGACACGTGATTTTCACGATATTAATGCTTTAGAAAATTCAATGACAGAAAAGACGAAGAAAGAAAACAAAAGCCTTTCTCTATACATAGAATGTGATGTTTCATTTAATTCTCTTTATAGATATTTGTGCTTTACTTAGAACATATTATATATTGTTATCATTCTATCAATCATCGATTGATTTTTTCCATCGTGTAATCTTATCACGCAACAAATCATTTTTAATAGTTCACTTTTTTCTCCTCAATTATATTTTTAAATAACAATTTATTTTATTGAAACAATAATATTAAATGAATGGTTTAATTTGTTAACCGCAAATTATTAAACAGGCTCGGATCATAATATCGACCACATTAATTACAGAACTCGAGTATTCTAATACCCGCCTACATACGTTATTTGCGTATTCAATTATTCACCTATTTAAAGAATCGTGATATGTAAATAAATTTGTGAAGTCAACATATATCTTTTCCTTTATATTTATTTGTTAAATAAATTCATTTTTTTGGATTATAAAATAAACATAACAGATAATATTTATATATATTTTGAAATAAATTAATAATGCTGGAGATTTTTTTTTAATTTTCTCTTTTCGTTTATTTTATTTATTAAAGACTACGTTTAATTGGAAAATGGTAATCATTTGTACAATTCTCTACAATTCCATGCAATGCATGAAACCATGCAATATTTCATTTTCCTAATTATTCTTGCGATCACAATAAAATAACTAACGAGATATTTCTTCCGATTACTTTGAATTCCATTATATTATTGAAAAAAACTATTAAAGATAAAAGTTAAAAGTACTATTTTCTTAAAGGGATCTCGCTAAAATAAAAAGTGTTCAAAGTATTATGTAGATTATGTAAACGAGCACAAAGTTCATGATTATTTATACGCAGCATTTAAGCGAATGTCAATGCTTAAAAATAGGATGAAAAATAGGAAAAAGCAAGTGTTAGCGATAGACATGCTGGAATTTTAAACGGTTCACAATATTTATCGAAGCGTGATGATCTTGAGAGTAAACGATACAACTGGAAAGATTAGCGATAGGTGGTTAAACGAAGCAGCAGCTAATGATTGGCTTAGTCGGTCATCTCGCGGGATTGTGAACAAACATAAAAGGGAAAATTCAAAGGCAAGACAAAGTAACGACGAATATCGTTAACTGGAGGTTAACCTCTCTTCTGGAGGAGATTAAACTTTCATTTAATTATGCTTGCCCCAGTTCATGGACGATCTATAACTCGCGTGATACAAAGTTTCAAAGCATCAAAATCTTATGGTTTTTAAATGGTTAAAACATTATTTAGATTTATTAATGTTCGAAACATATATATATATTCCTATTTTTCTTTTCGTTCTAATCGTTTTGATCTATCGTGTTTGATTATTTATGCTTGACCTATTTATTTTATGCATTACGTTATCTAAAATTATTATATATGTATAATTGTTTGACGTTTTTACAAAGAGCGTGAGAACAGTTAGGAAAATTTAAAATGTAAAAATAATTTCTGTGAAATTTGTATAAATATTATTATTATTATGAATAGAAATCCAATATGATTCCGTTATATTACATTTCATTTGTAATTATCACAAAAATTTTTCCTTTCTTTCTTTATTTCATATTCTATTTCAGTCACGACATTTACGTCACGATTATTACATTTTATTTCTTTCCTTTCATGACAAATAAAACAGGTAGCCGGCTTATATTTTTCTCTCTCACTTGTATCATAATAGAAAGGAATGTGAAATGCGAATTTTCAAGACACGATACTCTGAACGTTTTACTGTTAGTTTTAGAGTTCGCGTGTACACGCTTAAATAGCATAATGAAAGATAAATTGCAAACTAATTTGACACGTATTATCTGAAGTGTGCAATAAATTTTGAAATACAATACAAATTTTTCAAATTAAATACAACGATGAATATTTAATTATTATTTTTATATCATAATATTTAACAACAAATAATAGAATAGAATTGGAGAAATAAATTCGATAAAGAGAAGATGAATCTATTTCATTTATGAAAGTTTGTTGAACTTTTCAACAATTCTTACCAATTTTATTTTTATTTTTATAATTAAATATTTCAATCAATATTTTTAAAACAATGTGAAATTTATAGATTCACTTTATAAAATGTTCCCTCGAAAATATTTACCTTACAGTTTTTTAAATAGTATTTATAAAATATTCAATAGAGAAACCTTATATCTGAAGCTTTCCATCTGCGTATATATTTGGATTTAAGTGACAGAAATTCTAAAATATCTTTTTCAAAGTTTTCATTTCCTTATATAGCTTTTACATAAATTCAATTTATTTTTATCTTTTCTTTCTTATATTGAAAGATTTCTGCCGAAGAGTAAAAACATTAAAACTTAATTTTTATTATAATTTAATTATTATTTTTCAGCCTATTTCGATGATTTCAATATGCACAAAATAACGATCCAACGATTTTCATTACAGGTGTTTCTCATTATTCAAAATGTCTCGAAGAAAGCGGAGATTACATTTCGGTAGATGAGGTAACGTAATTAATTTTAATTTTAATTTCTATTTCGTAAATTTTTAACCGTTTAATTTATAAACACATTTAACGTTGAACTTATTAAGAAAAGTGTGAAAATTGCTATGCCAGTTTACTATTAATATAATTAAGAAAATAAGTTAGTCGTCGACAGGTATACGTTTAATTTATGCATAATTTAACTTTCTAATTACATAGCAATTTACCCTTTCTCTCTGTTCGTTGATTCAATAATAATTAGCATGCATTTCGTATTTGATGTGAACAGATTTCTTTTTCCCCGCCTACCCTTTCAAACAAATTCATGCTTAATCATTAAAAACTAAATAAAACATTCTCGGTATAAAAAAAAAAAAAAAAAAAATCGCGAAGAAACTTTTTTTTTCTTTTTCTTTTTTTTTTTTTTTTTTTTTTTTTTTTCAAGAAAGTTGGTATAGTTAATACTTTTGTTTCGTATTACAAAAATTACTTTGTAATAGTTTCGCGAGAATTTTTCGAAAAATTATATGCAAATTCGCGATCGCGCAAGGGAATTTAAACTTGCGAAAAGGAATTTAAACTTTGCGGAAGGCAAAGCGAAATTAAACGAGCGAATTAAACTATATGCGGATGGTATATCTTGTATATCAAGTGCTTATCGCGACCCAGTTTTTTGCTCGATTGAAGCGAAGTTTACGAAAATACTTTTGTAACGCTTTTTTTTCTTTTTTTTTTTTTAATATTTTTCCATCCATAAATCTTCATCGTTCGTTATTTTGTCATTCGTTTCGCATTTGCCCGTTACTATTACCTCGATTATTAAAATCGTAGAAGTCGATAATATCGAAAAATTATCGAAAAGTAAAATGATACGATATATATAGATAATCAATCGGAAAAATATATTTTTTTTCAGTTTTATCGGTTTTTACGTTG